TGTTTATTTCTTTTGCGTAGAGTCACGTTTATTGGAAGGGGGAGGAGCCAAAGTTTATGGTTTTTGATGGGGCGGTCATTTTTTGAGGATCAACATAAAATAAAATATATATACAGTCGACTCTCGAGAATTCAAACCTTCGATAATTCGAAACCTTCGGTAATTCGAAGTAAATACTCGGTTCCTTGAAAATCATGCGGTAATTCGAACAAAAACATTTAAGTACACTCGGTAATTCGAAATTTTTCGCTCCAGTCAAAAGTCACTGTTGAGGTTTTTGATGCTTTATTTACAATAGAAAATACTATTGAAAAAATGAAACTAATTTTCAAATTTCAATGAAGCAGAAAACCATTGCAGATTTCTTCAAAAAATAATAATAATAAATAATTAAAAATGTTAAAATTAATAATAAATAACTCTATCATGTATCACCTAATTTACTGAAATAATTAATATGTATATTGTATGTACAATAATAAAAAACAAAATTTTTTTCTCAACTCTCTATAATTCGAATATTTTTCCCCTCTCGTTATTCCGAACTACTCAACAATTCGAATTCTCGGTAATTCGAATTTTTCAATAGTCCCGTCAATTTCGAATTATCGAAAGTCGACTGTAATTACAATCTATTATTCTTAAGGGTGGCATATTTTAATTTTTCCCCGGAGCAGCAACATAGCTTAACGCTGCAGCACTGCTTTTGTGAAACTGCTCTTGCCTATTTCTGTACATCACATTAGAGATTTTATAAAGTKAATAAATCACACATTAATACATAATATATAGCCATATAACCATATACGTATTCTTAAATAATTTGTACAGAAAAATAACATAATCGGCACTACTATACAGGAAAACGACAGCGTTATATTAAATAGAAAAATATATTTTGTCCTCAAATAGGTTAGTCACTGTCTCACTAACTATAGGTACTATTTACGTTAGTATCAATACTGCCATTCTGGATATAAGTAGTGAACGAACGCATACTTCATTTATTTGGGAAAAATATGTGTAAATGCATTTTAATTAGAATAACATTAAAATGTTTTCATTTTTTTTAATATTAATATAGATATTATACATTTATATTAGTAAACAAAGTTAATGATATAAATATTCAATTTTAATCGACAATAAAAGTATACAATTTTAGAAACGACTTAAATGATATGATATACCGAATTTACCCTAATCGATTTAGTGCACATAATGTATAATTAGAAATTAGAATTAATTGTAGAGTTAATAGAMAAATAGTACTTTTTCTTTTCTTAACACCAGATCAAAATGTTATGATTAATTTGATGATTGCAAAAAATTATAAAACCTTGATATAAGTGATATCAACTTCCACTTTATGAAGTATACCTCTTCCAGTATAAATTGTTTTATTATATTATTATTATTATTATTATTTTTTTTTTTTTTTACAAAAATGTATTAATATTTTCGTATAATAATAGTAATAAAACAAAAACCACTCTGTTCTTACAGAAGAAGTTCAACTTTCGGCCGAAACACACTTTGCTTTTTTAATAATAAGTGCCGTTCATGTTATAATAAATGTAGTATTTTTCATTGTTTACCGTGAACAATAATAGTATAGTCACTTGATRTCATGGTGGCGTACACCACGCACAAAATTATTAAATATATCGTCGTCAAGTAAGCTATACCTAATACACTTGTAAGYTGTGCGTGTCTTGCGTAAAATWACACGTGGCACGCGTATATATTTTATAATACAATACATACTACATACAATATACATACTCGTAGGTAYATTATATTATATCGACTGTAATAGGTAGGTACACCGACGCAGATCCTGCAACGGTTGTGWCACGACGCCCCAATACACGTGTATATAGACGTAGTGGCGTCACCGATAAGGATTAAATTAATAATATTAGATATTATTTATGAATTTTTTATACGACTGTTATTTTCACACAAGATTTTTTTGTTTTGTTTAAGTGCGGAATTACATCCTACGCGCTACGAAAATATTATAATATAGGCTATATAGTATATATGTATACAACTGTCATGAGTAATGAATTATCATTGTAAACACATTTTAAGATTTCGTTGAATTCCATAAACAGTAAAAAATAAAAATCATTAGCCATCAGAATATTAATATTTTAGTTGCACTTATATACCTATATACATAYATACAAAATAAACAATTTAAGTCTTTTATTTCATTTTCAATGAATACGATTTATTGTTATATTTATTTTCTGCTAGTAAAAACGCCTACCTATGTATAATATTTAGTGGTTATATCATATATTTGATAATGAATAATATTAAAAACTCTATAGAAACTTTCAAGCATTTTTATAGTGATAGTGTCGTTAAAAAAAAAATTACCATTGCCGCAAACTCACATGTACCTACATATAATATAAGTCAGTGTCACGTTTATTATTCCATTCGTCATAACATAACTAATCTTTAATGTAAATTGTATATCATATTCTGTAAATAGTAATACCAATGTTTATTGTTATAAACTTCAATGTTTAGATACAGTTGATTTTTTGCTAAAACCATTTTTCACTGAATAATTAAATTAAATATACCCGAGTTGTGAACGGCGTACTACACTGGTGCTCGAACGAAACATTTTTCTACTCGATATTTTAAGTGTCCGACAATTTTCTGAAACGTTACGTAAAACTCCACAAAAACTGTTGGCTAATTAATTTTAAACACATTATATTACTACTTATAGTATACTTAATTTATTAAAGTTGCTTACATTATTGATATAAAAAACAAAAAATTATTCGCTATACTAGTAAATAAATTCTGGCCTTGGCCTTTGAGTGATGATCAAGAGTACATTTTTGATTCTTAATTATAATTTAGCTAGCAAAATCTAAATTAGAAATATGTTTTACTCAAGAATTTTTATACTCAAGTATGCTCTGCAKAAATGTAATTATTATATTACCTAACCAGTTAAAAATAGTGTTTCACTTTATGATGATAACTATACCCTATAGTAAAGTCTTGAAATTTTCATGAATGAAAATATTGACACCATTTTGATCAGTTAAATCACTTCCCTTATGCATTGACTTGTTGGTGTACCTATATACATTTTTATCTGCTCAATATCTTTGACCTTTTGAACAATTTCCGTCGTTTACTCGATCTTTCAGAAACTTTACTGGTCGTGCACTGTTAGTGCTCACATGGGAAAAAATAATATAACATTAAGATTTCGCCCAGGAATCTGAAGTACCTATAATTCATTTTAATCGAAACAAATTTAATGAAAGCCCACCCACGTTGAAGTTATTTTCATTTATTGTCAATTTTATAAGATTTTCATGTAATGTAGTAGATTTTCTTACTATATAATATAATACATGACGTGTATAGGTACCTACATAGAATGTTTATGACATTTGGAATTTAGTATTTATCGTGAAGTATTTTGAAAATTGATGATACTAATTACTGACTCATTAKATTATAAGAATTCTAAATTTGTGATGGTAAAATATTGATTAGAATAAGTAGCCCACAAACCATAATTTTAACCTATAACAAACAATAATTTTCTTACAGGTGTTAATTATATTTATTAGAAATATACTATTGAACGTATTATACATCATATATAGAGCGCACATTGGTACTCACCTCGTTAACATAATAATACCTATAACACTACGAGTTTGCCGCGGCGTCACATCTTATGCGATAAAAACCCCGAAGCGCCTAGATATTCGTGTTTCTGAGATCCAATCATCGAATTTACGTAATCAGTAATCTCAAATATTTATCGTACGATCCCATAGCCTGCGGTTGGACAACTAAATAGTAATCATACAAATATGAACTTGATAAGTATTATTATGATGGTAAACAAATACAGTTATAGACTATAGTAATACTATATCGTCCATCGGATGTTACATATTCGTAGCACATACACTATAATATACGGCTATAAATTATAATAGTATATCATATTCGTATTTGACTTTGTGTTTTCGTCTGTACAGCTATTGATATCGAAAAAGATAAAATAATAGTTTCCAAAAATTGTGCGTAACTCAAATCTGTGCATCACTGCGGAAGTCTGCAGCTGAGTATAAAAATGTTATGACCGATAATCTTTAATTTATAGGTACTTGACATTCGTCGACGTTACAACACGCGATTAAATTTCACTTGAACTATCTGTAGGTACTTGACACGACTAGGTTAAGTAATATATTATATGTCCTGCATGTGCGCTCTTGCAAGCCATAAGTGACGATTTGTTGTTAAGTATGCAATTGTAGTGAAAACAATAAAACCTCAAATAAATAAAATATTTATTGCTTATTGCTTTCGTTTTCAGAGAAGAGTTGATGTTGCACCAAGTTACGGACGGAGTACATTTCATGCAAATGATATACGGCACAGGAAAGACGCTTTTCGACTGTGAGTACGTCAAGGAACCCAAGACGGCCAAAGATTTCGTTCGGGAGTTTTGGAATGAGGAGCAAGGCAAAAATCACACAGTGAGATCCTTGACTAAGGAATATGCCTCCATGGTAGATTTTAAACATTTGAAAAAGGCTTGTCATAAAAACCATAAGAAAACTAGAAGGAGACTTGCGAACGAGTATCAACTACAGCAGCAGCATCATCAGAGCACCACTGCAGACGTCGTCGCTAACGACGGGTCAGTATATATTAACATTATAATTTAAAATATATAATAGTTTAGTGATTATAATATGTATAATACCATGCCCATTCATTAACTATAAAATTAATATTGTCCTTAGTTATACGGAATGTATAAGTATATCTATATCCATTGGAGTTTTTTATTCCAGTTGCGTATTATAAATCATGAATGAAAAGTGGTTTTTAAATAATATTTACTTTTGGATTATATTCTTAATACACCACTCGTATACGGTCCAGTTAGATTAGGTCATTTTAAAGTTGTTCTGCAATGTATTTTATTCCACTATCTACGGCGAAATCACCTGTTTAATTGGTATAATAAAATATWATAGATTATTCATGTWTATCATATATGATATATGATATATACATATACCTATTCGAAATTGTACTTTTATTGCGTGTTTTTAGTGAAATTATTTTTTTCTATCATTATTACTATATACTAATAATGTTCTCTCATTTGAATTTTTGAAATAATTTTACTCATTGAATAAATAAGATAAATTAGAACTTCAAAATCGTTTCATTGGAAAGACGGCCACTAATCATTTAGACTATACCTAATATTATATTTAATGGCACTAACTTGAACATTCATACAATCATATGTATAATACGCATACGAATAATGTCGGTTTTCATAACAGCATTACAGTATACCTAAACGTTATTTTTGATATATTTTGTTCGATGTATATTTTCGGATGACATAATGTATTTTTTCAATGCACTTAATAATTTACTACAATAGATAATAAAATATAATATTTTACCTCCTCGTGATTTCAGCAAACGGCGAAAGAGAGATCTGATGTCCGTGTTAAGAGTTCCTGGAACAAAATGGTGTGGGAAAGGGCGTTCAGCGAAATCGTATAGACAACTCGACGGGTTCGGCGGAGCGGATCGATGTTGCAGGATCCATGACACGTCTTGTCCAATGTGGATTGGCGCTTTGCAAAGTAAATACGGTCTGTTCAACTGGAGACTGAACACGCTCATGCATTGCTCGTGCGACCGCAGGTACCTATATCTATAACACTTTGTATTATATACATCAATATCGACAATATGATGAACGTCAACGAATAATATTAATGATTCATAAACGATTACTATCAGAACACGAAATTAATTATTCTTCATAACAGGTGTGCAGGAAAATTAATAATTGATATACCTACGCACCACAGTGGTCGTACCTACCATATAGGTTTGTCAAAAATTTCACCCCTTCGAAATATTTTCTTCAGAAACACTATGCCGCGTTAATTGCATATAATATAATACTTATCTTCTAACAATAGTTTCTTCAACATAAAAACTCGTATATAATATATTTTATGATATTTATTATTTGTTATATGCTTATATACCTACATAATATGTATACTTTGTAAATCCATCTAATATAGTAAAAATATAATCATGGATGATAAGTAACTAAATAAGTATCTACTACTAAACATAACCCACTTTTTCTAAGTAAGTACTATTATCCATCAGTGCCATCGTTGAGTAAATTGTCAAACAAAAACAGTTTTCGTGTGCATGTTTATATATTAGAAAACATACCATAAATATTATGATTTATGATTGTATAATTATAATTATACAATATATGCTATAGGTATAAACTTTTGAAATAAATATAATCAGTATAATACGATAAAATATATAATATATATAGTATGTATATTATATATTTTATATACATTTTCTTAATATTTCAATGTACCTATATGATATATTCCGCACACGAAATTTTTATTTGAAAACTATATCAATACGATATAATATAATTTTCGATACCATTTTTAACCGTACCTATAACTATCTTTTATTTATTTAACGACGTTTTGCCCATTTGTACCAAAAAAAATAAACAAATTGCATTGTGTATAATCTAAATAAGCTAAAGCATTTAGTTATAAAAATAAAACATTTTTGTATGAATTATTTATATGTTGGACATGTGTTTGAGAGAGAAGACAAATATTGCACTGACATTTTCATCATAATAATTTACAATTTGTAAGTATAATGTACAATATAGGTACGTTATACCATAAAATAAAAATGATACATATATTATAATGATAACATTTTTAAAGACCAACTAATATTAAACAATCAAATTAAATTGTACATAATAAAATAGTCATAATAGGTAGGAAAGTATATATTATTTTAAAGTTATGGTTATTAATACACTTTTTAATTTTTTTTAGTTAATTATATAAATAATTATTTTGATTATTTAAATTCAGACATAAATCATAATTCAGTATTTTTAACTAACTATTTTTGTTTAGATGACATATAGATTACTAAATATAATTTAGCCAGAAGAAAATTATTTAACTAATAAGAATGTTCATAAAATCTTAATTGATTTTAATTAAACCGTTAATGATTATTTACTCAATGAAGTATTCATTATACAAGTTTTTTTTGATTGGTTGTTTAATAGATAGCGTTTTAATAATATACTTTTTAAACCATTCAGGTCTACCGGTATTATTTTAAAATCAAACTATCAAACTGCTATTAAAAACACTGCAAATTATTAACGAACTAGTATTATTAAAAATATTAACATTTTTTTACGTAAACATGTTGACATAGTGTTTGATGATTTCCACTGGGGAAGCATGTTTAAGGTGATGATAACAATGTTGACTTTGTTGTTCAGTCAACCCACTGTTCAAACCACTTCAACATTTGTTGACTTGTTGGACATTCGTGATTCAATTCAAAAAAGCCTAATTGASTGTCCTGTTTAAGAACAAATACAACTTATTTTCCTTATTTATTTACCAAAAAATAAATATTACGTCTTTGTCGGTTGTATCTTTGATGTTGCATCGTATTACACGGGGTTCACCTTAGCTGCATCTGTATCTGTTAATAGAAAGAAAATGTAATAGCATTTTAGATCAATATGCTAAAAACCATAATCGAATAATCCACGGTGAAGTTACTGAAGTTAGCATAAATTATTTTATTTTTATAATAATGGATTAACCGGTTTTCGAAAAAGCGTAGGTGTCTCGGTGATATATATTTCTATAATTTAATATTATCATTTCTAGACCCGATGGGCATTGAACAAAATTAGAAAAATCTTATTTAAAGTATGTAATAACTATTCTCATCACATGCTTGAATAATGTTTGATCTATCTGTTGAACAATTAAACCATATACTATTTGTTTGACGATTTTCGAGAAGTAATTATAATAAAAATTTTACACTTCTAAATAAGGTAAATTAAGACTTATCTTTTAAAAAAAGACATTGTCTCATTCACATGTAACATTTAAATCTACATTTTTAAAATTGATAACATTACATTGATTTTTGAATTACATTACAAAAAATTAAAAAGCATAAATTATAAAATAATTTTAAATATAATTACCACTGTAGGTAATAACTAATGAGTAATTAATATATTTTATGATAAAATAGTTTCAAGTATTTAGGTGTTTAGACTAATACTAACTTCAATAGTTTAATTTTACATATATTAAGCATTAAAAAATAGATAATAATATAAACATATATGGCTATTCAGCTTGAATATGTATCTATCTCTTCCTATTAAATAGTCTATTGTGCATACAATACAATATACTCATAAATCATAGTAGGTACCTACATATTTTACACAATATGCAGGTTTAAGCAGAAATTATGTGAATCACTTCAAATAATTCAATTTAAATAGTATAATGTTAAAATTTGTTGATAGCACACGTGTTGTAAAAATCTTACAAATATTGGTACCAACTGGCATACAAATGAGTAATTTACAAAAAAATTATAAAAATAACCAAGTCATTATAAAACTCTAAAAATGAACAATCAAAATTCATAAACAAATAACTACATTATAATATATTATACATATTATTAATTATTTTTTATAAATGTATTTTGTATAAAATATTTCTTATGAATTTCGCTACGTTGTCATTAACATTTATTATATTATAGCAATCACCACATCAATCAGTAATTAATAATTATGTGTAGATAAAAGCGGTAAATACTATTTTAAGAGGTTCAAACTAAACAGTTTCTCTCCAGTTGTTATTGTTAAAAAGTTGTAACATTTACAGAATATTATATTTATAAAATATGTACCTATGTATAAAATACATTATTTAAACTTGCGACTAAATGGTAAATCTAATCAGGATCAAACTTCAAACATTTTATTTTATGTATTTTCATTTCTAAAAAATTTACAGGAGATATCATATTTAAAATGTATATTATAGATTTTATTTAATTAATGGTTAGGTCACTAGTGACTAGTGCATTTCTTATGCTAGCTACAAAGAGCGTAATAATTTGGCATTTATTCAAAAATAATACGAAATCTGATAAGAATATCCAAGTGAGTACTCAACTACTCAAGGTTAATTTGAGATCACATCCGTTACAATGTTTAAAAACATATTTTGAATTATTTGATTGTGGTACAACATTTTTACACGTAATTTCTTAATTTTTAATATGTATTTCTCATAGTGTTAGACTTTTCATCTCGTTATTTTTACTTTTAACATTCTATTGTATTATACTTAAATAATAATATGAAGAATTATATAATACTGCATTAAAATATAATATATTATTATATACGTACATAAACGTATATAAACGTTAGTTAACAATGTTTTAATAACTGTATTTTGTTGTTATTATATTATATATATTATACCACATAATAGGGTAGACGAAATGATTTAGTATGTCTTCAAATAAAAAACAAAATTATAAAATAAAAATAAAATACTCGTAGGTACAAATGAATCTGTCCCATTAGCCACGGTCTCGTGGGGCCTGTTTTCTAAATTTAATTTAAACGTTCTATCCCGCCAGGAGAACGAATTTAAATGTATATAATAGGTACTTATTTTCTTACCCTCCTTTCAGTATTTTTTAGCCACTGACATAAATTATTATAGCCCTATACTCGTATATCTATGTGTACAATAAATATTTTCATTTCATCGAAATCGTATTTAAAATTAAATAGATAAAAAAAAGTTATTGCTTCCTATTAAAACATTAAAAATGTAGAACATGTTAAAATATAATATGTGTTATTACTTTTCTATTTTTTTCCATACCTATTATAATACGTGTATAAATGCACCTAYAGTCATACTTCTCATATTAGTATATAAAGTGTTTTAATTTTTAGGCTTTTTCTTTAGTGCTCATATGGAGTGTCACATGCAAAAATAAAAACCACATGACGTATTTTCTTGTAGATTTCATTCATGAGCACTAATCGCTATTTTTAATTTTACTGATATATTATAGTAAATTGGTATGTATACTTTTTAATTAGTAATTAATTCATAAAATTTCATTTAAACAAATTGGAGTTTTGTTAATGAAACGTTATTTATTTTATTTCAGTATAAAAAATAGATACCTACCTATGTATTATGTAGGTACAACCTATCTACCTATAAAGTTTTTATTTAAAATAACTTCCATGTAAACATAACATCCATTTACAATAATAAAATTATAAAGTTACGAGTAAGTGATGATATTCGATATATACCAATACCGCTATATTTAAATTTATCATGTGTATAAAATATTGTCACTATAAATATTTTATAGTAGCTCATAATATTTGTTTATTATTACCTATACTCGCAACCTAACGGTGGTAATTTTGTTTTTTGCCGTATGAAAATCTTTACATTTAGGAAAATATTATTTATATTTTTAGCACAAAAAATGTATACACGTAACATATATTGTGCATGGATAGATCGATAGTATTTTTATGTAGCTTAAAGTATTGGACAGGTCATCATTCACGAGATATACAGACAATGCAGAATTGTCCTACCGGGCATCGCCAAGTTTGGATCAATGGACTGTAAAGATACGATAGAAATCCGCGTTTTCTCTCAATGCCAAAACCCCGATGAAGTCTTTTGTGTTTTTATAACCGAAGGGGGACGTATTTAATATTCAAAATT